AGCACCATGACAAAGAACTCCCCGTCCTGCTGGAAGGAATCAAAATAAAAATCAAATATAGTCGAATTGAATTAACTTTTAAAAATGTGTGAATGTTTTGTTTAAACCACTTTGTTTTGTTTTTCTTAAAATCATTTTATTAGGGGCTCATACAACTACTTTGTTATTTTTTATAGGAGAAGCTTATAAATAGACTGAAAGAAAAATATCTATAGCAATTTTATCATGCGTCTCTTCCCGTGACCACAAATTAACTACACAGTGAAACAATAAACCACAAAACCAAGCTCATGGCCATAAAGTTGATTCCAACTCACGGTGACTCTCTGGGACAGGGTAGAGCTGCCCCTATGGGCTTCGAGACTCTAACTCTTTACAGGAGTAGAAAGCCTCATTTTTGTCCCTCAAAGCAACTGGTGGTTTAGAGGTGCTGACCTTGCAGTTAGCAGCCCCAATGAGTAATCACAATGAAATTTGAAAGAAGAGTTAAAAAGCAATACCTTGGACACTAAGGAAAAGTAAGCAGGCAAAAAATAAACAAAACAAAATGTTTGAATGGTTTCAAAGGCAAAACAAAGTGATTAAAGGGGGAAAAAAGGAAGATAAGCACATAGGTTTGGGTCTGCATCCTACAAAGGGGAAACTAATCAAACCGGGAAGAGCATTTGAAGCAAATTCTCCTGGGTGCCCTAAGAGAGAAGCCTTTGAACCAGTACTCTCTCTGATCCTGCTCTGATAAAGGCATCCTCACGATGGAGTTCAGGGAGACCAGCTCTCACGGCAGAGGGAAAAGCATGCGGAGCCTGCAGGCTCCTACAAACAGACCAGGCAATGACAACTGGGGAGACAGCACCTGCAGCACCCACAAAGGCGACTGCTCGCCACAACGCAACGGGAATGGCAGTGGGAAACAGAGCAGCTCTGTAGCGCCAAAGTGGATGCCACAGAGCTGCCCACTGCCCTGGAGTGGCCTCTGACACCTAGCGCCCTATAGAGCAGGACAGAACTGCCCCAGAGGGTTTTCAACTACCCAGAGGGTAGCACTGCCAGGTTGCTACCAGCAATGTTGGTGGTCAAAACTTAGCAGCTGCTCTTGGGGGAAAAGACGGGTCTGTCTGTATCCATGAAGATGCACAGCCTTGGAAACCCTGCACGGGGCCACCATGAGTCAGAATCAATCCACTAGCAGTGGGTTTAAGTTTGATTTGATAGAATTGCCAAAGCTTACGTGTGTATAGTAACAGACAGTTTTATCTTTCTCCTTTGGAGCAGCTGGTGGGTTTAAATCACCAAACTGTTAGTTAGCAGCCCAAATGAACACCCAGGGCTGCCAAGTCTCCTTTATAGAGCTACAGAGTGAGTCACAGGAGCCCTGGTGGTATAGTAGGTGACATGTTTGGCTGCTAATTGCAAGGTAAGCAGTTGGAAACCACCAGCGGCTCTGAGGGAGAAAGACGAGGCTTTCTCCTCCCTTACATGCTTCCAATTTCAGGGGCAGTCCTACCCTGTCCTCTGAGTCAGGGCAGATCGATGGCAGTGGGTTTCAGAGTGGTTCATGCTGGGTAATGTGCAGGAGGTTGTCAGGGGGGTAACTATTCCTGCTCAGGGAGGTGACAGTAATAAAGCTTTAGCTTCCAGTCTCTTTGGTAAATCCTAGGAACGCCATACAGGAGTCCAAGGACCCAGCACTGGACAAAGCTTTTTCACCCAAGCCGTGTGGGCTGTTCCAGTCAATATTAAAGGCTGAAATGAGTCCGTCTTTTTATCTTTCCTTCTTCCTTTCTTTTTCCCCTTTCCCTGTCTTCTGAAAGGTCAGCTCTGGCTCGTTTTGATCAGCTGATACATCTGTCCCCTTCTCCATAGCGTTAATGGAGTCTTTGCTCATTTATTTACCTTTATAAACAGTTTTGATAAATTTTTATTTTTTGTAAACAGATAATTTTTAGGATTAGTTGAAATGGTTGTAATAATCAGGAGACACCATAGTACCATATTAAGCATCTATCTATTTTACAGGGGCCTCATCTTGCCCCCACAGAACAGCTGGTGTTTTCAAACTGCCGGTCTCATGGTTAGCAGCCCAACTTGTAACCACTCCGTCACCAGGGCACCTAGGATGTTTGAGAGGAAACAGACTTGTTCAGTATTTTTACAGAGGCTAGAGAGTCCAAAGTATCGGTAGAAAGGGCAAGTTGGCAGACTTCTGGTCTAAACAATAAAGAACATTGCAACTTGAGTTATTCAACCAAGGGGCAGCCAACCTGTACACCCACACTGTCTGGAATGCCATATGACAGGAATGCTATAGAGCAGTGGTTCTCAACCTTCCTAATGCCATGGTCCTTTCATACAGCTCCTCATGTTGTGGTGACCCCCAACCATAAAATTATTTTAATTGCTACTTCATAACTGTAATTTTGCTACTGCTATTAATCGTAATGTAAATCATAACGTGTTTTCTGATGGTCTTAGTTGACCCCTGTGAAAGGGTCGTTCGACCCCCAAAGGGGTTGAGACCCACAGGTTGAGAACAGCTGCTATAGCGGGATTCTGAATTAAGGGAGGATTAAACTATATGACCTGAAAGTCTTTTTTAGGATTATTTGATTTTAAAGGTAAGATTAAAAGAAAAAGGGTTGTTTTTCCTATATTTAGCCATGTGTTTTTGATTGTCTCGTATTCATGTGAATGTTGGACACTGGATGAGGAAGACCAAATTAGAATCGATGTATTTGAACTGTGGTGCTGGCGAAGCATGTGGAAAGCGGCCATCTAGCAGGGAAGCAACAAAGCCCACACAGAAGAAGTGCACCAGCCTGTATGATCATGAGGTGTTGACAAGATGAGATATCAGGCATCAGAAGACCCCAAACAAAAAATCTTATCAATTCGAATAAAGGGGGTTAGAGTGGAGACTTAAAACCCATCTGTAGACAATTGGACATCCCCTCACAGATGGGTCAGAAGGAAGGGACGAGCTAGCCAGGGTGCAGTATAGCATGGAGGAAATACACAGCATTCCTCCAGTTCTTTAATGCTTCCTCCCTCCTACTATCATGACCCCGGTTCTACCTTAAAAACCTGGCTAGACCGGAGCATGTACACCGGTACAGACAAGAGCTCTCAACACACAGGATCCAGGACAAATAAACCCCCCAGGAACAGTAATGGGAGTAGTGATACTGTGAGGATAGGGGGAAGGTGGGGGGGAGAAGGGGTAACTGAGCACAAGGATGGACATATTAATTCCTCCCCCACTTCACCCCCACCCAGCCGAGGGGGGTGAACAACATAAACGTCTGTGAAGGGAGACAGTAGGAAGATATGAAAACAATAATAATTTATCAAGGGTCCACAAGGTGTGGGGATGTTGGGGGAGAGAAGCTGATACCAAGGTTTCAAGCAGAAAGAATATGTTTTGAAAAGGATGATGGCAACATCTGTACAAATGTGCTTGATACCATTGATGTATGGCTTGTTGTAAGAGCTGTAAGAGCCCCCAACAAAACGATTTCTGAAAAAGAAAAGGAAAAGAAAGGAAGTACCATGAACTGCCTAATGAACACACTAATCTGTCTTGGAAGAAGTAGAGCCAGCGTGCTCCTTGGAAGCAAGGACAGAGAGACTTTGTCTCACGTACTTAGGCGATGTTCCAGGAGAGACCAGTCCCTGGAAAAGGACACCCGGCCTGGTCCAGTAGCTCTCACTGCTCACGGTGACCCTACAGGACAGGGTAGAATGCCCCCGTGGGGTTCTGAGAGGGTGACTCTTTACGGGAGGAGAGGGGCGGTGAAAAAGAGGAAGACTCGATGGCATGGGCTTGAACACAACAGTGACGGAGAGGGTGGTGCAGGACCAGGCAGTGTTTCGTTCTGTCGGGGTCACTATGAGTCTGAACCAACTACTGGCTTCTAACAGCAAGAATATATTTTAAAGTGTGTTGGGAAGTGTCCATCACATCCTTATATTGAGCATGACTGGCTTTCAATAATACGATTTCTATGATAAAAGATCACAAAGCAGTTTGACCTATTACGATCGGTTAGTAGACAGAGCTTTAAAGGCAGAAAGCCTTAAAACAGACCGGCGAACCTGACCAGCATATGAACATTAACCTTGGATGCTGTGACACCGCACCGCAAAGAGCAGAGAGGCACATGTAGAAACTTCCCAAGCTGGATCTGAAGATGGAATCCCACGTAGACTTTCATTCCCAAGTGGCTACAAAAATGACTTCTGGGAAGCTACTTGGGATAAATCTCGGTTCAGTCTCTCAGGAGATGTAGATTAGAATCAATCCCCATCCAATCCACCCCTGCAGCTGGAGGGAAGCGTCAACTTCAGCTCAGCAAGAGTGTCCTCAAGAACAGGCCATTGTCCCTGTGGGCGGTCACTAGCCAGCTCCTTGCTGCTTCTAAAGACTCAGAACCCCGCTTGTCTTTGAGGGAGAGACCACGGCCCTGATGCTACAGCCCAGCTCCAGCTTCCTTCAGATCTCAGTCCACGCACACATCAGAACGGAACCAAACCCTAACAACACAAAAAGTAGTTGCTACTGAGTCCATTCCAACTTGTGCAAGTGCTCTATGCCCAGAACAGAACTGCTCCATTCGGTTAGGTCCAAGACCATAGATATGGATCACAAGGACGTTCTCTGAGGAAGCTCCAGGTGGATACAAACCAGCAGCCCCTGGGCCGGTAGTTGGGTGTTTAACTGTTGGAACTACTTGGGGACCACCAAAATGTGAACGCCAACAGGCATGAAGCCATCTTGGTAGATTTTGATAAGCAACCTATCCTTCCTCATTTACCTCTGAAGGTAAATAAGCTCTCCGGGAGTTTTCTAATTGATGGAGGGAAAGGAAAATACACACAATCAACATTCTATGGAAAACCCCCACAGATTAGAACAAGAAGAGAAAGGAGCCTTTGTCCTTGGCAGGGGAAACGAGGGAAATGACCGTGTGCTCCAACACACAAACACGCGCAAACGCACACACCTGAAATTCTGCATGAACTGCCGGAATTTGTCCACCCTCCTTGCCAGGGGCACGATGATATTGATCAGCGTGCTGGCCATGTTGAGCTTTTCTTTTTTCACTTTCATGATCGGGCCAAATGGTCGAAACAAGACAAGCCGTCTGAATTCGTGTTTCTGATCTCCTTTGAACGTAAGCTCATACAAAGTGCCTTTATCGCGTTCTGTTCGGTAGATCCCTGTGAACAGGAAGACAGGGAAAGATGGTTAGGGGAGAAAAAAAAAATCAACTGTGGCTGCTGAGTGTGCTTTTTTTTAAAGAGCAAAGATGTGACACAACATGCCTTTATTCAAAAGAGAAGAACATTAAGATTACATCTCTACATCAAACAACTATAAGAGGATTTGAAATTCTCCCAATTAAAAATTCCCAACGAAATCAAACTGCCATCAACTTTTTAAAACACAAAAAACTGTTACGAAGATTTCATAAAACAAGAGGTTTGAATGTTGGATACAAAATTGTATCACACACACACACACACACACACACACACACACACTGACACACACAAATATTGAAGGCTTAAACAA